TTGCTGGAAACTTCAAAACACATTTTTTAAAGCCCTAGAGTTCTGGATAGTAACACAATTACATTTACTAAGGCTCCATTCAGTTCTCTAGTCACTCTTATCCCTGTCTTCTCCCCACATGTGACTCGTTTCTTTTCTAGTTCTAAGTTTTGATTATTCTGCCTATACCAAAACAACAATGTTCTTGGACATTTCTTAACCTCCTCAAGAAATAATATTGTAAATGAAACATAAAAAGAGTCTTTTTAATCAAATGTTCACACATCCCTAATGCTTACCTTTCACAAAAACTAAGATTAAACATTCCTGATTTGCCAGGCTGGTGTAGCTCAGCTAGCTGAGTGTTGTCTCGTGCACCAAGAGGTCACTGGTTCAGTTCCGGTCAGGGCACATGCCTAAGTTATGGGCTTGACCCCCAATAGGGGGCATGCAGGAGCCGATCAGTGTTTCTCTCTCAACAGTGTTTTTCTGTCCCCCTCTCCCTTTCTCTCTGGCTAAAAAAAATCAATAAAAACGTTAACAAAAATTCCTGACTCTTGGTGTTTTACACAGCTACAACTAACAGTGCAAGGAGACTGAGAGAAGTGGACAAGTGCATTTTTTTCAAAGGAGAGATCCATAGCTCTCATTAGATTCTCAGAGAGGTTTAAGACAGAAGGAGAAAGGTTAAGAATCATTTGATCAGAAGTCATGATACATAAATAAGGGTACTTAATCATTGGTATACTGACACTACTAGTCCATCTCTTATTAAATTCTCCTTTCAATTTCAGTTCTTATTTACTTGCTTTCTCTAATGTTAGTCCTTTGTCTCCTTCCATTCGTGAGAGCCAGTCCAGAAGCCAAAAAAGTTAGGAAATCACCAGTCATAGAGGTACTACCAAATCTGTATGACTTTCAAGTAATAATGGAGGGTGACAGGAGAGAGTTGAGTATAGGAAGAGCTATATTATCCACGCTCTTTATCTCCCTCAATCCTTCAATAATTCAGGACACCTGTGGAGGATCATGTACTTCCTCTTCCTCACCTCCACTCCCTGAACAAAGCTTTACCACCACAGCTACTGTGCTTCAGCCGCAGGAGCAGTCAACATCTTGTAAATCCATACCCTAATGCACCCCACATGAAGTGCTCAGATCAGATGAGCCACACAAGTAAAAAGATAGTGGTGTTTTGGAAAATACATGAGGATATAAACTTTTGCATTACATAAAGTTCTTTCTTCATAGCACTCACCTGAGGATGACTCATTGCTCAAAACCTTCACAGAATATCTTCAGATCTGATTTAGTCTCCTTAGTACAAAGCAGAGGTTTTCAGTGTTGCCTGCAGTTTGAAATAACCTGGGGAGACCTAAAAATTACTGATGCCAATGTTCTAACATGAAGATTCTGATTGAATTAGGCTAAAGCAATGGTTCTTACTCTGGGTCATGCATCTGAATCATCTGTGAGTAATTTTAAAGATGAAAAACTCCACACAACTAAATATAAATCTTTGGAAGTGAGATGTATGCAACTGTATTTCCAACACTTTTCGAGTGATTTAAATAGATAACAAAGGATTAAGATTCACTACTAAGCATTCATATTTCATCATTGGTCCAAAATATTGATAGCCTGCTGTATTTAATAAAATGACCTCCACATGGATCTTGGCTTTTTTCCAAAACTGAATTGACCCCTCAGAATTCTTTTACAGTTTGTCACAAACCCAAGCAATATAGTAAAAACAAAAAGGTGGCCTTCCTATGAATCCATTTATATTCCTCCAAGTTGATTTCTTTTGAGGGGCCAACACTGCAGTGGTTGCAAGTAAATACTCCTGATCAATATGCTTTCTATTCATGGAGGTTACCAAAATATAGGGTTTCTTCCATAAAATATATAATAGAGTACGAATGAACAACCATAAAGCCACATGAAAGAGTACCTACTAGACAGTTCATCCAGAATTTCTTACTAGCAGATAAAAATAATAGCTAATCTTTATTGAGTGATCATTATGTGCTTAAGCTTCTCTGAAACCTTTATATGTACAACTTTATTCTCACAACTTCTTTCTGGGACAATATTACTATCCCCAAATTACAGCCTGGGGAAATAAGGCTTAGAGAATTTAAGTATCACTGCTGCTTTTCAGTTTTGTAGAACTTTGATGCCTAAGTAAAATGACAAATTACTACATGGCATTTACTTTCAGGATAAAACAAAGTAGTCAAAATTGTTATCCTTATGCTTATGTTTACTCCTTGCACTCCAGTGAATATGCTATGCTAACATACCAGTCTGTTAACTCTATTTCTTGTATCACGTAAATCCATTGCCTTCCAAACCTCAAAGTCCATGGTAAGATCTTTTGTTCTCAAAGTATAGTATTTCCTTGATTCTTCCAGTGGGGCTGGTGGAAAACACTTAAGATAGAGTTCAAAGGAAACAGATAGTGATTCAAAATTTCTACAGAATCGTAGAGTCACATTTAAAGAAAATACACACAATCACTCTTCAGTGGCAGCATTCATTGTTCAATGATTTATCAGTATTACATTATTACAGCTGAGTCTATATTGATGGAAAAAAAGTTTTCACTTAAATCACAAAGACACAGTTGTAGGCAGAATAATGGCTCGCTAAGATTTCCATGTCCTAATCCCTGATGTCAATGAATATGTAACCTTACATGGCTAAAGAGACTTTATAGATATGATAACAATTAAGGATCTTAAGATGGCAAATTATCCTAAATTATCTGATTGGCCTATATCTAATCACATAAGTCGTTAAAGTAGAAGTGGAAGAAGAGGGAACCAGACAGATGTAGCTTCAAAAAGATTCTATTTGGTTCATTGATTTTAAAGATGGAGGAAGAGGGGCATGAGCCAAGAAATCGGAGCAGCCTTTAAAAGTGAAGGCAAGAAAATTTTCTCTTAGAGCCTGCAGAAGGGAAACAGCCCTGCTGATGACAATTAGACCTGTGTTGGACTTGTGATTTACTATACAATAATCAATTTATGCTATTTTAAGCCACAAAATTTGTGGTAATTTAGCATGACAGCAATAAAAAACTAATATAGATATGGCCCTACATTTGCCATTAAGTCACCTTTAGTTGCTGAAGAAGTATAAGAATGCCTTCAACTCTAAGTGGAGATAAGGTAACATTTTTTAAGAATAAATATATCTCTTTGTCAGTTCTTATGTTTTTTAAAAATATTTTTATTGATTTTTAGAGAGAGAGGAAGGGAAAGGGAGAGTGAGAGAGAGAAACATCAATGTGAGAGCAAAACACTGATCAGCTGCTTCCTGCATGCCCCCTACCCAGGATCAAGTCCGCAACCTGGGTGTGTACCCTGACTGGGAATTGAACTGATGACCTTTCTGTGCACAGGATGATGTCCAACCAACAGAGCTACACTGGCCAGGGCAGTTCTTATGACTTTTAAGAATTATATGCTATTCTTTATATTTATTTGTCTCATCAGTGGTAAGGTCAGTAGTTATATTGTTATCTGTTTAAATTCAGCCACTACTTGAATTTCATTTTAATAATTAATTGAATAAATGTTTACTGAGGGTATGCACTTACAAGGCATTTTCACTAGGTGTAAATAAAGGTTTCTCACCTTTAAGTAAATATTCTAGCTTTGACTGTTACATATTTATCAATTTATTCATCTCAAATTTTTATTTAAAATGAGCAAATGCACTATAGTAAAATAAACTTATTTTACAATTTTGATAAATTCCACACTATAATAGAAATACAACTTTATTAAAAGTTTAATAAAATTTGTTGTGACCACTGTTAAATATTAGCATGGCAACAGATGCCTAAAAAGTAAGGTGAAGTAGATGAGACTAGAGATAGGGGGAGGATTGATTATGTGTTGATGTAGGGTGATGGATGCCCTGGGATTTATAATCTATCTGCTTTTGTGTAGGTGTGAAACGCTCCATGATGTGAAGTTTCTTTAAAAAATACTGCACATTAAAAAGGGTGTTCATATATTTTTTTACTTAAAGCCTATTTAAGGGAAAGTTGGAAACAACTTTTTTTTTCTCTATGAATTGACTCTTACATCTGTTCTCTTCCTTTTATTTTATCTGTCCCAGCCACCCTAGTTCAGCTATTCATTACTTGTTCCCTAGATACCTGCAATCAATTTCTACCTAATACCCTTTACCTCAACATCTCCCCAAATTCATTCCTTTTACCACTGCCATGCTATTCTTTGTACCAGTTCAATATACATAAGTTTTTCAGGACATCCTGTATATAAATTTTTCTGCTCTATTTTTAAAGTTTTCCACTCTTTGGCCCAAACTATTTAATTTCTTTCTAACCTAACAAATGCTAGAAAGTCCAGTCTCCTCATTCATCTAAAGATGCCATGTTCATAATTGTTGCACATGAACAGTCCTTCTTCTCGCCATGTATTCCAATTCTATCAGTCTTAAGATTGATTCAATTTCTTGAATATTTATTTTAATTTTAGATATTGACATAAATTGGTTATAAAAGATGTATAAATACACAGGATGGGGTAAAAGTAGGTTTACAGTTGTGAGTATACAAGAGTTTCTTGTATTAGTATTTATTCATTATTATATTATTTTCTATACTTATAACTGTAAACCTACTTTTGCTCCATCCTGTATTTATATATCCTAATCTTAAACAAAAATACACATATAATATACATATTTTTCATCGTAATAGGCTTTTGGTGTTAACTTAATTGGAACCACTTAAGAGTGTCAATTCCTCAGGATATGATCGCTTGATATTCAAAATGAAAGGATTTACTAGAGTTCATTGCTTCCTCAAATCCAATTTTTGTCATTAAACTTAAACAAAACTTAATAAATTCTATCATTTTGAAGTGATGCTTAGAGGTCGAGGTTTACTTTTTGTTGTTTCAAAGTATCACTAAGGATAAACAATTAAATGATAAAGATGATGAAAAATATAAGATAGATATTCTTTCTTTCTCTTACAGTTGGAATCCAGTGTCTTTTTGAGATGCCTTTGCCTGCTGAGGATGAAACTGCCCAGAATGTGGTGAGCCAGGGGCCATTGTCCCTTGTGCAATGCTTTCCATAAAGCCTTGTGTCAGTTAACCTCAAAGGAATGTAGTTTGCCTGGGGGCAAGACCTCTGCTGCACAGCCATGAAAATCAGCAATGTAGCAGAGTGTACAATTTCAATCTACAGAGCCATACAAGGGTCCCTTGATAGGATAAACAACATTGTAGGTCCAAGGCATCATGAGATTAAGGGTAAAATTGAATTTCTACTTGAAAACGTAACCACATTATCTAATAAAGGGTCTATCATTGTTAAAAAATTTTGCTTCACCCAGACTATTTCTACCCTAAACACCCTAAATACTATAGTACTTTAATTTCTATGGGGTTAAGTTAACTTTCTGCATATGGGTTTTACCAACCTTTTTGCTTTTCTTGAGGACTTGGCTATTCACATATACAAAGAACTAGCACAATTTGTGAATAACCTTGGAATCTGTGTGTAAGTAGGCAACTTTGAAAACCTCTGCGTTGTCCTGGAGTGACTGCTATGTGTAATTTAATGAGCCCCTCTTCTTTGCACCCCCCCTTTGTTTGTAAAACCCTCCCTTTACATCCTTGACACTACTCTTGTTGTTCTCTGACTTCTCAGTCTTCTCCTTTATGTTGATTTTTAAAAATATAGTCTTTGACATGTGCACAACAAACTCACTCTGTCCACTTTCAATTACTTGTCCATTTCCTTCAGCTACCAAGCACCCTGTTTTCTCCCAACCAGCACCCTCCTGGTTTCATTCCCAGCAGTGTTCTCCCTGGGAACCTCTGAGATACTCTTTCACCTTCAATACATTTCTCAAAATACCAACTTTTGACAGTGAGGATGTGGAACAACAAGGACTCTCATTTATTTCTGGTGGGAATAAAATGGTACAGCTATTTTGAAAGACAATTTGACTAAACATTCTCCTACCATATGATTTATCAATCACACTCTGGTATTTACCCAAATAAATTGAAAACTTACATCCACACATCTATAGCAAATTTATTCATAATTGTCCAAACATGGAAACAACTGAGATGTCCTTCAATAGGTGAATGGATAAACAACCTGCTACAGTGAATATATTTTTATTTAGTGATAAAAAGAACTATCTTTTTGAGGTAACACCATAGTGTTTTCTACAGTGGTTGCATCAGTCTGCATTCCCACCAGCAGTGTACAAGGGTCCCCTTTTCACCATAGCCTCACCAACACTTGTTGTTTGATGATTTGTTGATGGCAGCCATTCTGACAGGTGTGAGGTGATACCTCATTGTTGTTTTAATTTGCATTTCTCTGATGATTAGTGGTGTTGAGCATTTCTTCATATGTCTCTTGGCCATTTGTATGTCCTTTTTGGAGAAGTGTCTATTTAGGTACTCTGCCCATTTTTTAATTGGGTTTTTGTCTTCCTTTTGTTGAGTTGTATGACTCTATATATTTTGAAAATTAACCCCTTATCTGATGCATCATTGGCAATTATGGTCTCCTATATAGTGGGATCACTTTCTGTTTTGATGGTTGTTTCTTTTGCTGTGCAGAAGCTTTTTAGTTTGATGTAAAAGTTAAAAATTGAACTGCCATTTGACCCAGTGATCCCACTTCTAGGAATATACCCTAAGAAACCTGAAACACCAATCAGAAAGAATATATGTACCCCTATGTTCATAGCAGCACTATTTACAATAGCTAAGATCTGGAAATACCCAAGTGTCCATCAGTAGATGAGTGGATTAAAAAGCTGTGGTACAAGTACACAATGAAATACTATGCAGCTGTAAGAAAGAAAGATCTATTATCCTTTGAGATGACATGAAAGGACCTGGAGAGTATTATGCTCAGTGAAACAAGACAAGCAGAGAAAGACAAGTATCACATGATCTCACTTATTTGTGGAGTATAATGAACTAAACAAACTGCTGAACAAAATTAACCCAGAAACATAGAGGTAGGGTACAGATTGACAAGCTTCAGAGGAGGGGAGGTTCGAGGGGGAAGAGATAAACCACAGAACTTACATGCATGTATGCATGACCAATGAACATAGACAACAAAGCTGGGGATGGGGCAGGGAGGAAGGGGAGGAGGGTGTCAATGGAGGAAAAATGAGAAACATCTGTAACAAAACCAAATTAATAATTAAAAATTTTTTTAAAAAAGAACTATCAAGCTGTGAAAAGACATGGAGGAACTGTAAATATGTATTGCTAACTGAAAGAAGCTAGTATTAGAAGGCTGCATACTGTATGATTCCAACTATATGACATCCTGGAAATGGCAAAACTGTGGAGATAGTAAAAATATCACTGTTGAAGTTTTTTAGGGTAGGAAAACTACTCTTTACAAAAAATACTTTGTATGATACATTTGTCAAAAGCTATAGAAGGTACAACACCAAATGTGAAGCCTAATGTAAACTGTGAACTTTGGTTGCTAATGTGTCAATGTAAGTTCGTGGATTGTAACAAATGTACTGACATGGTAGAGGATGTTGATGGTGGGGGAGGCAGTAAGTGGGCACTTGCAACTCTATTTTGCTGGGAACCTAAAACTGCTCAAAAATTAATCTATTAATTTTTAAAAATCAGCTCTGAATCCATGCAGCCAAGGGCCACTTCCCACTGCTGGAAACCCAGAACACAGGCCTACGGCGCTTCTAGACCTTTACCATCTTCAACTACTGGCTTGAAGTGCAGGTCTTCAAGTCCCTAAGAGACTCCTTTTCCCTTACATCTTCCCACCTGCTAAACCTTGACTTTCTTTAAAATTTCCAACTTAACCCCATCCCCTTTCACTCATAAAATCATGTTTCCTGAGAAAATAAAAATCAATAGGTAAGATTTTGTCAATGATCTTCCTCAAGTGTAACCCCTAAATGTGTTGACATCTGGTCCTCCTCTACCCTTTCATCCCCTCTGTCTGCATGAAGAGGGGTTCTTCCTTTGGTTCAAGGTTAACCCCTCCATTGTACTTTAGATTTCCATCCCCTTTGCCTCCCCTGGCCTCACTCCATCGCTCATACATATTATTCTATTGTATCCTTAATCCCTCCCTCTGCCATCTGGCTTTCCCTCCCAGCATAAACATGCTCAAGTCTTTTCCATCTTAAAGGAAACCTCTTCCTTGACCTCATCACTCTTTCATCTATTGGCAATCTATAAGCACCATTTGGTTGTAGTGGCTGGGATATTTTTGTGGAAAGCAAAAAAAAAAAAAAAAAAAACACTTGAACTCATATTAAAAGACAAATTTAGCCCAGCTGGTGTGGCTCAGTGGATTGAGCAACATCCCATGGACTGAGAGATCCTGGTTCGATTCTCAGGGCACATACCAGGGTTGTGGGCTCAATCCCCAGTAGAGGGTGTTCAGGAGGCAGCCAATCGATGTTTCTCTCTGGCATTGATGTTTCTATCTCTCTTTTAAAAAAATAGATTAGCCCTGGCCAGTTTGGCTCAGCGGTTAGAGCGTCGGCCTGCGGTACAGAGAGACCCGGGTTCGGTTCCCGCTAAGGGCATGTACCTCGGTTGCAGTTTGTCCCCGGCCCTGGTTGGTCGTGCGGGTGGCAACCACTCGATGTGTCCCTTCACGTCGATGTTTCTCTCTCTCCCTTCCTCTCTCTCCCTCCCGCTCTGTCTGAACAAAAAAAAAGAAAAGAAAAAATAAATAAATAAATAAATAAATAGATTAAAAAATAAGGGAAATGTTTTTACTCCAACAACCGGAGGAAGTGGTGAGCCACTAAAGTGTGAGAAGAGTAGAGATTCAGCCAAGACTCAGGAACTATCAACTCGATTGTACCTGGATTCTCTCTCCATCTTCTCTCCATCTTAGCTAAACATCAACCTGCATTATGCTTCATTTTGTCTAAACACAGTTGAGCTTTCTCCACATGTAAAGAAACAAGCTTCCTGAATGTTACCACATACAGTTTCTGTCATCAAGGAGGAACTAACATTTGCTTTCTGAAACTACATTAAAATTTCTGGAAAAGGAGAGAGTGAAGAAAGGAAGGCTGGGTAGGAAGAGTCTCAGACTGCAGTGAGCTCTGAGTCTCGGGCAGCCCAGCAGGGAGCTCCACCGCAGACTACCATGGGAGAGATTCGCGTCGGGCCGGCCACTCTTCCTGCAGTGTCCACTCACTAATGGGGCCTGTTCAGAGAGAGTGAAGCATCAGCTCAAATACTATTGACAGATCCTAAGGTTGTTGCAGTTGGAGGCTATCACCTAAATGCCTTCCTTGTTTCAGGTTTTCTCTTGTAGAGAAATCTAAGTGACACACCTGTATGGCTGCATTGTCTGTAAACACGTCATAGACTGCATAATATGGTCACTTAGTTTCCTCGTCTTTCCTCTTCCATATCACTAAAAAAACAAGTGATAAACTAAAAACCATGTATTAATTTAATACAGTTTATAATTTTAGTTTATAGTTTAGTTTACATATATAGCCATTACCTTATGTTTGCATCTCCAGATAGATGCTCAATGTTTGCTAAATAAATGAGTGAATAAATGAATTCATTGAAGAACAGTGTGCCTGTCTCCATGTTTTGCCTCTAAAAGTAGATTTTTAAGCTTTGTGAGAACATTATAAACAATTTTAAAATATATATTTTCTTCTCTGGCTTCCACTTACATTAACTTTACCTCTCCAACTATCTGGTTGTGGGAACTTTTTGGCAGTAAAATGGAGAGGTGTGACTGTCACAAGTCCTAAGCTTAAACAAGAGAAACTAGAACATCAATATTCTTATAATAAACATATCAAGCTCATGTAGAGAGGGGCACAAAAGCTATTCTAAGCCTTCATTTCAATTTTCAATACATTTGACAGTCCTGATAAGCTTCCATCTCACTAAGAATATAGAAGCCATGTGTCAGGTATGAACTCCTTAATTATTTATCCTTTATTTGAAAAGCTCCTTAAAAACCACTAATATATTAAGATGTGCAGAATTGCAGAAGCAGCAGGTTTTGAGCACCTTACCAGGT